ATGTAACAGAGCAAAGCAAAGAAAAAGTCGCTCGCCTGCAATCCTGCAACCGTTGGCGTTTTGCACTGCGTGGCCATTCTGTAGTGAGCCCTTGTTCATCCAAACCGCTTGGACATAGTGGCGTGATTGTAAGAAAGCAAAGCAAAAATAGCAGCGGGAGACCGGGAGTAGTCCAGCTAGTCTAGGCGATTGTACCAAAGCAGATCAAAACGTCACGGGGCGGCCATTTTGGAGTGTGTGCGTAACAACGCTCAGCTGGGCTGAATTGGATTGCAACCCCTTAATTTTCAAGCCAGTTGGTCATAGTGGCAAGTTAGCACAGACGATTGTAGCGAAGCAAAGCAGCAGTTGGGGTTGGAACATGGCAACCCTCAGTGGTTAACACTGCCGTCACCAGACGGCCGTTTTGTGGTGAACCCCTGTTGTTTCACACGTGTTGACTGTAGTGGCGCGAGAAGTCTGTCTGGCCTAGACGATTGTGACGATGCAAAGCAGAGCGAAGCGGCAAAGCAGCAGCAGCCCTTGCGTGCAGGGCACTAAGGGGCAAGAGGGGGGGGGCGGGGGCACAGCAGTGCAGCCCACCGGCACGCGCCACCACTGCTGCAGGCGGCCAAGCCGGCGGCGCGCATGTGCTTTGGAGAGGCCCTAGCTAGGGCCCAGGTTCAGGCTTGTCTCTTGCATGTGTGCTGTGCGCCTTCAATGCTGGGTCTCTAGACCTGCTGCTACATTCTTTGCGCTGCCGTCACCGGGCAGTAAATTTGGCGGTGACCCCATGTTGTATTCAAGCGCAAAACAATTCCATTGATTCTAAAAGTGCGACATATATTCCATGCGATAGATATGATGGAAGGTGTGCGCTCCCTGTCGGAGTTGTTCAATGCCAACGCACGCGGGCTGATCAGCCAGCCTGCTTATGAGCACGCGCCTGCCGCCTCCTGAATAGCTGAGAAGCCTGCAGCCAAATACACTCAATCCCACCCACAAGATGTACGCAATTCCAGTCAAGACTCCAACCAACAACGATTCACATCAACAGCATCTCAATATTGCCAACCCCTGGCGGCCGCCCGCGCGTTCGCCGTTGCCCTTACCCAACAGCCACTCTGCCACCTTGTCACGCGGCCACCCCATCATTCACAAGTCATCTCTAGATTTTGAGTCATAAATGCCCTCGGGAGTCTTCCCCCCTGGATGGGAAGCCTGTCTGTTCACTCTGCTGAGCTGAATCGAATAATTACAAGAGGGTTTCAACAAGTTTTGCAGTGCCTGCGAACAGAACGCAGTGCACGGTAGTTGAGACCAGCAGTGGCGACCTCCATCAAAACGCAATGAAGTTCATCTATACTATACAGCTATATCAGGGAAAGAGGCTAAAAGGCTTCAACAGCGCAGTGTGCATGCAGGAGAGCATGTGCGCGCTCCAACAAGGCGCAAATGCAGCCAATGGTGCGTGCCTGAACGTCAAAGCCCACGAGGCATCACGCCTCGGCAGCACAGCGGCCGACCCTCCATTCTATGATCGTTTTTGCCTGGTCCACCAGCAAACGCCTACGAATCCAGAGGATGGGGACGCCTGCGCTTAGTGCGTGGCCGACGACCCGAGGGGCCACCGCCGTTATGAACGCTGTCCGCGACGCTGCCGGGCACGCCTGGCACTGGCCAGGAGCTGCAGACGCTGTAATGGCATCAAGAGCTGGTGGGGGTGCCGCTGCCGCTTACAGAAGCATCTCCGTCGTTACTGGTTCCATCACCCCCTCGTTGGCTTGACCGAGTCGGCCGCTGTGTGTGCCAGGGCATATCAGCTGTCCGCTGCTGCGAGACCATGGTCCCTGGGTGGCGGGGCGGGGCGCCGGTGATTGGGGCAGCGCCACGCTGCTGCTCGACCTGGAATGGGTTGAGGGAGAAGGCGAGCTGCCTAACCTGCTGCTGCTGCTGCGGCAGCGACTGCTGCTGCTGCTGCTGCTGCTGCTGCTGATGCTGATGCTCATGCCGGGCGAGTAATTCCTGCTGCTGCTGCTGCTGCTGCTGCTGCTGCTGCTGCTGCTGCTGCTGCTGCTCCATCTGCTGGCGGGCGTGCCGGCTGACCAGCGGCTCGCCCGATTCGCAGCTGCCAAACTGGATCAGGGCCCCAGCTACGCCAGACCCCGCCCTGGAGAGGCCCTCCTGCTGCTGCTCGCCACCAGGATGCACCCCGCCAACAAAGGTCCACGTCGGCTCCAGCAGCAGCTGCTGCGCGCCGCCTGCCACGCGGCCGTTGCCGCATGCAGGCGTTGCTGCGGCAGCCGCGGCGCCCTCGCCGTCGGCGGCGGCGATGTTGGCGGCGGCAATCGCAACGCCGGCGCGGAAGGCCGGGCGCGCGAGGTAGTCCGTGAATGAGTCGCGCATCAGGTCGGGTTTGTACTCCCCAGGCTCTGAGCGCTTCACCTTCTTCCTCAACGCATGCTTGTCAGTCTTCTTGCCCATGCGCCGGCGGCGCCCCAGCGGCACTCGCACGCGCTCGCCGCCGGCGCCGTCGGCGTCGGCGTCGGCGCCCGCGCGGCTGCGGCGCACGCAGACAAGGATCCCGCCGACGACAGCAAGGGTGGTCGCCGCTGCGGCTGCCACAACCGCGATCGCGATGTTGGTCGTGGCAGAGGTGTGGCCTGACGGCGCTGTCTCCACCTCGGTCATGAGGGAGGCGCACCTTGCAGCGTCCACCTGCGCGGCGCACACGCTTGCTGCGCCCGCCACCGCGCCTGGCAGCCGCCCGTCAGCTGCGCCGCCGCGAAGCGCCAGCTGCCAGTCTGTGCTGCAAACGCCGGCGGCGCCGGCGCTCCCGGGTGGCGCGCCCGCGAGCAGGGCGCGCGTCCCCTTGGCGCGCCACTGGCACGCCGGCTGCGCGGAGCAGCCCTTGGCGCCATCGGCCACGGCCTCGCAAGCCGGCAGGTCTAAGAACGCAACGCAGCTGTCGCTGGCCGCAAGCGCCGCGCGCGCGGGCGCTCCGGCGGCGCGCAGGGTCAGCCGGTGGTCGGCGGCCTCGCAAAACGCCGCCTCGGCCGCCACCGGCAGCTGCGCGGCCGTCGGGTACGACGCCAGCGCCGGCGCAAACGGCAGCACACTGCGAGCGCAGCCTGGGACGGCGGAGCAGGCCGCGGGTGGCTGCGCGAGGCAGCGCCACTGCAGCTCCAGGTCGTTCGCTGCCGTGGTGTAGAGCACATCCGAGGATCCAAGGTCGCCAAGAGCCGCCTCAACCAGGCCTGCCGCAAAGGTCTTCAGCTGCCCGCAGGCTGCCTGCCGCGCGGCCACGGCTGCTGGGGCACCCGCAACGGAGGGGCCTATGCACGCCGCGGCGGCTTCCGCTAGCTCCGACGCGCGTCGGACTGATTCTGCGATCGCCCCCGCGACGCCGTCATCTGTGGCGCCGGTGGCGGCTGCGACGACGCCCCCAAGCAGCTGCCCCAGCCCTCCACGCATAGCTGCCACGGGGGTGGCGTTCGGGCTGGCCGCGGCAATGTTGCCGTCGTCGCCTGCGAGCAGCGCCACCTGGCGCCGCAGGCCGGCCAGCGCCGCGGCAAGGCCCAACGCCGCCTCCCGCCAGCCACGCGTGGTGCTGCGATCGTCAAGCGCGAGCGCGCGCAACGCGCCGTCTGCCTCGGCGGTGGCAGCGCCGACGCGCGCGGTCCAAAAGTCGGCGATGTGAGCGCCGCCCATGGTGCTGAGAACCGCGGCCGTCGTCGCAGATGCGTTGCCAGCCGAGGCGACGGGCGCCGCCGACGCAGCGCGCCCCATGGACAGCAGCGCGTGCGACGCCATGGCGCGGGCCTGCAGCCAGCGGGGCTCCGACAGCTGCACGCCCGCGGGCGGCAGCGCTGCTGCGGCCAGCGCCGCGAGCGCCTGCGCCGCGGCGGCGCCAGCGGGCGCTGGAGGCGGCGGCGCCTCGGGGGAGTAGCCCTTAGCGCCGCCGAACTGCTCGGCGAACAGCCAGCGCAGCAGATGCCGCATCTGATCCGCGCCGTAAGCAGCCACGCCTTGCATCGCCGCCTCCTCCTGGCCCAGGGCGGCGCCCACGGCCCCGGCCTCCCGCACAAACCAGACCGCGTCCGCCAGCAGCGCCCGCGCCTGCAGCAGCGAGGCGCCGCTGTACGCCGCGCTGCTGTTGTACTGTGCAGCCAGCGGCGCGATTGCCGCGGGCAGCACAACTTCCTGCAAGGCCCGCAGCCCGGCTGCGGCCGCGGCCGCGCCGCTGACATCATCGGCAGCGGCGGCTGCGCGCGCTCTGGTGTAGAGCGCAAGCTCTGCGTCAAAGGCACCAAAGGCGGCGCGCAGGGTGTCGAGCGCAAACGCGTAAGACTCAGGCGGCTGGCTGTCGGGCGCGGCGCCGACGCCGGATTGCTTGCTGGAGGCGGCTTGCTGCTTGTAGCAGTCCAGGGCCTTGGCGCCCCAGGGCAGGACGGCCTGGAGGGAGGGGTGGGGGTTGACAGTGAAATGCGGCTCGAATGAGCGGGGTGGTTGCACTAGTGCACCATGGCCTTGAGCAGAAGCGGGTATGCCGGAGGCTTGACTGTTGGGGCTCAAGCGGCCGCGCTGGTTCCGACACCCCTGCATCGCAACGGGATCCTGCACACAGCTGTGAGCGGACACGTGTTTGGCGACCGCTGCAACGACGTCCGTCAAAGCCATGTTTGCTCGTGGCTGCTCAGACCCCTCTCACCTGTTCAGGAACGCGTTTGAGCAGCGCGTCGAGGCTCAGCTTCTGACTGTTGTAATCCACCCCAGCAACCTCCCGCGCCGCATCCACCGCCGCAGCCGCATCCGCCAAGCACTTCCAAAACGAAGGCGGCGCGTAAGGCAGCGCCTCCCCCTCGCCCGCGCCGCCGGCGCCGCCGGCGCCGCCGCCAGTGGTGGGCGCGATTCCGGTCGCGACAGTCGCCTCTGCCTGCAGAATGCCCGCATCCACAAGCGTCGCCGCCTCAAGCGTACCCACGCCTCCAGTGCCAACGGCGTTGCTCGCAGCTGCCGCGCCGTCCGACATGATGGGCTTGTTCTGGCCGGCGTCCGAGTCGGCAGCTGACTGAGGCTTTGCGCCTGCGCCAGCCGCGCCGGCCACCGGCTTGCGCTTCTTGCCGCCGGAGGCGTCGTCGTTCAGAGGCGCATTCAGCCCCGCCGGCTGCATCAGCCGCCGCCGCCGGCCGCCCGCAGCCCCGTGGCCCCCGGTGCCCGCGCCGGGCGCGGCCGGGGGCGCGCGTGCAGGCATGGCGACGCTGGGCGTCGCGGCGCTGGGCGAGAGCGTCGTGAGCAGCGGCGTGGCGCGCAGCAGGCTCGCCTGCATGACTTGGACCAGGTCAAACGGCTGGTCTTGCAGCCTAGCCAACCAGCAGCCCAGCAGCGGCTGGCACCCCTCCGCGCCGTTCGCCAGCCGCTCGCAGCCCGCGCCGCCCGCCGCACAGTGGCAGCCGCGCCGCTCGGCCATGCATGCCTGCAGCGTGCCGAGCGCGCGCGCGTAGCGCGGCTGCACGCACAGCTGCTGGATGGCCATCAGCTGCGACTCCGATAGGAAGCAGCCCTCTTGGCCGTCTGCAAATGCTGGGTTCCACGAGCAGGTGACGTCCGCCTCGCACGCCGCCGCGCTGGTGACGCGCGCACACGCCAGCGAGCGCGAGACGTATTGCGACACGGGGTCTGCCTTGGCTGGCGCGAGCGCGCGCAACGCAAAGTCGGCACCCAGGGCGCACTGGCCGCCGGGCGTCCATTCGCACTGGCGCACGAGCTCCGCCGCTGCCAGGCGGCGCGCGGCCGGCCGCCTGTTGTTGTGCACAGGTGGGGTTGTTGGGGGTGGACCGGTACACTGTGACCGCTCCCGGCCACAAACGGCGCCTCGTTCCAAGGCGGCCTTGTATGAAGCCGCGACTGCTTCATACATACCAAGCGCTTCCTGCGGCCCTCACAAGCTGCAGTAGTAGCAGCAGCAACGCTGAGCGTCTGCGCACGGGTTGTCACCCGCCACCATCCTACCGATTTGCGCACCTTAGCACCACCGCATCCTCACTATCACCCAGTATCCTGCAGCTAACCGCAGGAGAACAACACTGCGGGGGCAGGCGAGCGAAGTACTGAAGTGAGCGAGCCCGGCGGGAGTACCGACATGCGGGCCGAGGTCAGATTAACGTTTTGACGCAAGACAAAACTCACTATTATGCTGCAAATAAGCAAGAGGGCCACTCCGGGCCTTGACAGTCCCCTACGCGCGGTGCTGCGGCATCGCGGCCCCATTTACGAGCAGCAGGCCATGATATGAGTGAAACGTGAACAAAACGGGATTATATTGCGTATTATTGAAGCTTGACTATGAGGACGCACGCGCGTTAGCCTGGCACTCCCGCTCTTGGAGGAGGAGCCATCGTAGCCGTCTTCCCCTCCCGAGTGACCCCGAACGATCTTCGTCTTGGGCGGTGCCACAATGCTACCAATGCCTTAATATCTCGCTGTCAATACATCCGCCACCAAATCACCCACACTTAGCTCCGCTGTGTCACATGGGCAGTCACGATGCCATGCTTCGTCAGCAGCTACCCTGGAGCACAGCCCATCCATGTGTCCCCAGCAATGCACATAAATTGGATGCACCTCGCACAATCGGTGTCCATCTTGACAGCCAATTGTCCTCGACAGCATACGCAACCAGCAATACAACCGCCATCACAACCTGCCCTTGATGAATCCTGCCATTCAAGATCCCCTACATGGCACGCGGCATGTCATGGAATGCAACGCCGCTGTTACACCGTCCATGGCGCCAATTGGCAGCCATCATACGTAGACGATCCTGTGACAGAGGCCTCGAATGGCGAGGACCTCGTGCAGGTCGTCTGGTGGCGGGTGGCGGCCCGACCGACTGTCACCACGCGGTGCTGTGATGAAATTCTCTTGCATAAACCAGGACGCAATTTGCACCCGGCAAAGAATGTCATGCAGGTGAATAGTAAAGGAGGTCAGATGCTGAGGCCGAGCTGGATCCCCAGGAACATGTGGAAGAAGAGCAGGCCCATGATGCCGGTGCCGAAGAACGCGTGCTGTGGGTGTGGGCAAGGGGGGATGGAGTGGGGGCGAAACGCAGCCATGAGTCTAACAGAAGTAGCTGTTGGGAGTGCGGCGAGCGACTGGGATTTTTGCATGTGGCCGCACATGCGAACAGGAGACAGGCTGCCCCCCAATTCTAGCAACTGAGAATCCTGCTGACTGTGCTCACCGCAGTGCGGGCGCCAGGCTCCTCCTCAAAAAACACTGAGCGACAACGGGAAAGGGGTGCTCATGTTTGTTATTTATGGCGAAGGGCTGATTAGCAGCTAGTGAGGGTGCAACAGGCAAAAAAAAGCTGGGGTGGTTTTAGGGATATAATGCAAGCACCCGCGTCACCCAACTTTGCCCCTTCCGATCGGTACATTCAGCTCGCGTGCCGTCGTGACTCACAGGGCAACATAGCCTGGAAGGCGAGCAGGCCGAGGCCCGTGAAGCCGGTGATGGCGTGGGGGCTCTCGAGGATGGGCTTGCCCTGTGATATGCATGCATTGTGCTTGTGAAGACAGGTGCGCAGGTGTGACACATGCCAGGAAACAAGCCGTAGCAACAAGGTATATCGAGCCGTGCAGTAGATACACACGTGTGTGCCGGATCAGCATGATGCAAGCGGCGCGTCGCGTCGTGCCAGACGGCATGCAACCTTTGCTTGCCTGCATGACGAGGGAGAGGAGGCCGCCCACGGCGCCGAGGGAAAAGAACACGAAGGCGCCGCCCAGCAGCTTGGGGTGCAGGTCCTTGGCCTTGGCAATCAGTTCCTGAGATTGCAACGTATGAGTTTGTCCAGGGGGCACGGCAGTGAACTCAGCAGGGGAGTCGCTGTGCAAGGGGGCCACTGGTGCAAACATGGTGCCTGCGCTTCTTTGGAGCTCCTCAGCGTGGCGGATCAATATTTGTATGGCCAACATGCAGATGACTGCATGCCCTCGTGAGCCCACGCACCCCGTCGTCGGAGACGCGGATCTGCCACCCCAGCCAGCTGCCGTATCCGCCCATGGCCAGCCTGCGAGAAAGCCAATGAGGATCAGCTCAGCAATTTTCATGCCGTCTTGGCCAAGAAACAAGGATGAAAATCTACATTGCAACAGGCAAACAGGAGGTCAACATCTTTGGGCTGGCCTCAACCAACCCGATTCCTCATCAGCACCACAGCCCGCCGAACGGGGTCCAGTGAGCAAGGGACCTTACACCACTCACAGGACAACAGCCATGTTCCCGGGGTGACCCCTGTTTCAGATGGGGGCCAGGGGCAGGTCATCAAGATTGTGAATTGTAGGGTCAGGGCGAAAGCCCAGCGGCGCTGCATGACCCTGGCAGCCCCGACCATGTTGATATGGGGATCCGTGGCTGCGCACTGGATGGCGGCGTGCGTGGCCAGGCTGTTGGCGCTGGTTTTCAGACGCCACATGAACCATAACATCGAAGTAATAGGGGGGTGGAATTCGCCATGTGTTCCAGCTCACCAATGAACCAGGGCCTCGGGCAACCCAAGGGCATTGAAGGATGCAGCAGTAGGCTCCAAGGCCGCCCGGAGGCCCCCAGACGCCGCGAGATCCGCAACCGCCTCTGTATGAACAATTAGCCGCCGGATGGTGGTGGATGTGGCATGGCAATAATGCAAGCCTCTTGAGTGGGGCCATCCCCTGAGCACAGCGCGCTGCAAGCCACTTCACAGCCACCAGCTAATGCTGCCGGACAGCGATAGCCCAAGCACCCAGGCAGCTGAACACCGCGACAGGAAGCTTTTTGATTGTGTAAGTGATCAGATTCTTATTCAAGTCTGACGCAAGAAGGCTCGTTTCGCTGCATAGCGGAAGTCACCCCAGTGGCGCACAGACACAACGCACCGGGCAGGGCATTCATGTGCATCTTCATCTGCCTTCCAGTGTTGTTCATCGGACGCGGTGCATTGTTGACCTTGAGCCCAGGACGAGTGATCTGAGGGCGGGGCAGCGCCTTAGAGGCACGGAGAGCCTGCATTTTTGCTATGTCCGATGAGTTTAAAGCATTAGATTGATCGACTAGTCGAGGGAAACAATGGGCGAACACGCTAACGATGCGACCAAAAGCAGGTGGCGGCGAGGTCTGTGTTGACTGTGTGCCTGTACGTTGCTTCGTGGACACACCGGCACCGCACCTGACAGATGGGCCGCACAGAGAGTGGAGCTGCAGAAGTTTGTCGAAGGAAGAACAACAACAAGGGCGTTCAAGAATACACTCGCATGATCACATGTGCAGCCACCCAGGTGTTCCACATGCAAAGCCCAGCCCTACAGCACTCAATCCTCGATCTGGTTTGCCCCCCCCCCCCCCAAGCTTGATTCAGTGCAGGAAGGGCACCAAATCTTAGCTTCACCGATTACACACAGAGCCCCTCGTCTGGTGTACGAGGTCTATGGAGACGGGGGTTGGGGCAACTACCCAATCACCCAATACTGAGACAGCCACGCCGAGCTACGTGGCACTCATGCAGCCAGCTGCCCGGCTGCCGACCCAATTGAGCATGGCAAAAACTGCTTTGTGCCATTTTGCGGCATGGCAGCAATGGGTATGGTTGCAGGGGCACACAGCTCATGAAATTGCAACAAGCTGCAGGGAGCACCTTGCTCGGCACGCACATTCAACATGACACCACTGTCCAGATTTGTGCGTGCTAGGGTCGGCTGGCAAATCACCTATGTCCGTGCAGCAGCATGCTCCAGTGCCCCCCATACACGCAGCTAGTTATTCAGCCGCCTGCCGACACATCAAAGCCCCGCCAACCGACACATCAAAGCTCCGCATTCGCGATCGCAGCGACCCCTGCGCGCATCTGTGCACTGGGTCTAGGCCCTGCAGCCGTCCCATTCCCACGTCACAATATCAAGACATGCTCACCCCGGCCTCCCGCATATGATCAGGTGACTCAGTCTGTTGTGTCGTTCTTGAACTTACAAAAGCCACAGTTCACGACGTCACGTCCCGCCCGGGCGCAGGCGTGGACGCGACCACCCCTGCAGCCAGCCGCCCAGCCCCCATCGCAGGGTGTGCCGCAGCCCCCACCGCTGCCATGGCCGGATGCACCGCGCCCCGTGGGATCGCTGCTGCACCGCCAGGCCCGCCCTTCCGAATGGAAAACACGTCCTCGTCAGCGTAGCCTCGCAGCGCCCCCTGCGGCGCCCGCGCCCCGCCCCCGCCGCCTGTGCCGGCCCACGCCCGCTGTGACGGCGGGGGAGCCCCCAGCCGGCGACGGCCGTAGCTGCTCCCTTCAGTGGTTTCGCTGAAGCGCACTGCCCTTGCAGCCGGCGACGCGCTCCTGCTGCATGGCGCCGCCGTCTGCTGCCCCTGCTGCTGGAGCGCCCCGCGCTCGTCCCCCCCTGCAGCTGCCGCACCGCCCGGTGGCAGCCCGGCAGCCGCTGCAGCGGAAGAAGCTGGGGCGTCGCGGGGTGTCGTTGTCGTCTGCTGGTCAGGTGGCAGCGGGGCAATGCCCAGTTCGAGCGACGGCATGTTCCAGATCTGGGGGTTCCCACCACCAGGGGTATGATAAGCTCTGCCAATTGAGAGCAGTGTCGGTTGCTGAGCCTGCTGCTGCAGTTGCTGCTGCTCGTGCTGCTGCTGCTGCTCCTGCTGCTGCTCCTGCTCCTGCTCCTGCTGCTGCTGCTGCTGCTGCAGGGGCTCATGGCTGCAGCTCGCAGCAGCCCCAGCAGGTGACTGCTCCTCCTCCTGCCGCGCCTGCTCCCCCTTGCTATTGTCAGTGCCGCCACCTGACACATCTTCAAACAGCCGCCCGCTAACGCCGCCGCTCAGGCCGCCGCCGCCGCTGCTGCTGTTGCGCTTGCGGGTGACGGAGATTTGCGGCACAGTGCGGTCGAGGTTGAGCGCCCCAGCCACCTGCAGCGTCAGCGGCGGCGGCGAGAGGCCGCCGCTGCTCAGCCCGGCCGCCTGCAGCGCCGCCACGGCTGACATGAGCTGCCTGCAGGCAGAGCGCGAGCGCAGCGGCAAGGGGCAAGCCTTGACATCACGCACGCTTTGTATGACCTATCACGCATGGTGAACCCGGGCTCTCCCTTGACAGCGCGCGAGTGACGGGAGCGCAGCCCCAGCTGACTGGCATGCTCCACCCACACATGGGCCTCAGCCTCTCACCTTCCCCGTCCCGACAAACCCCGACCGCCAACCAGGAAATCCCAATACATACACAAATCCCCACCACTCCATGTCCTCCTTCTTGGCCATGAGCTGCACGTTGACGTCGCGCTGCGCAGACAGCTCGCCCTCGCGCTCCTGCAGCTGCCGCCGCAGCCAAACCGCCTCGTCCTGCGCCGCCTGGGCCTGGCCCTCCAGGGCCTCCAGCTGCGCCAGGGCCCCGCGCTCCCGTGCCTGCCGCGCGCCGCCGGGGCGGGGTGGGTCGGTCCGGCGGGTGGAGGTGAGGGTTTGAATTTGAATCTAATGCAGAGCAACGCGCGGGCAGAAGGTGCATGTTGCAATTCGCACATGCTCTCAAGCATCTGCGCACACGTGTCAGTGCAAACATGCGTACACTGCGTTCACAACGGCCTGTGTGCACACAAAGGCGACTGCCGTGCTCGGAACAAACCCGGCGCCAACGCACCCAGCGCTCATTGACCTCCTCCCTCATAGCCCGCAGCGTGTCCTGAGCCACCCGCAGCTCTGCAGCCCGCTCCTCCGCCGCGACGCGCGCCGCCGCGGCCAGCACCTGCGCGGCCTCCGCCTCCTCGCGCGCGGCCGCCTCCGCGGCGCCGGCCTGCGAGAGCTGCGAGGCCAGCTGGCCGCACTCTGACCGCGACTCATGCAGCAGCTGCTCGAGCTCGGCGCGCTCGCCGCGCAGCGCCTGCACGTCATCCCCAGTGTTTGTGGTGGGCGTCTTGGGGCACAGGCGCAGGTGTGCGCTCATGGCAAGCAACCACCTAAAAGCTTGGGCGAGCCGACCTTTGCGATGCAAGGCACAGCAGCAACAACGCCAGCGCCTGTGACGACAGCAGCAGCTGCACCATCCAAGCCAGAAAGACCTCTGCTGTGAGCCATTGCCCTGAGCCGCAAGACGCAGATCGCACCTGCTCTGTCGCCGCCGCGGCCTCCCTCGCCTCTGCCAGCTCCCGCTGCAATGCGTCCGCCCTCGCCATTGCCGCACGCACGCGCTCCTCCACGCCCGCCGCGACCTCCTCAAACCACGGGCCCCTGTGCTCGTCCAGCGCCGCGCGCAGGTCGGCAGCTTGGCTGCGCGCGGCGCCGAGGGCCGCCTCGGCTTCGCGGGCGCGCGTGAGGAACACTAGGTTGTCGGCTGTCAGGCGCGCGATTGCCTGGCAAAGGGGGGAGGGGCACCCGTCGGCTGGTGTCAGGATAGGTAATGCAGGCTGACATTTTTTCCACCTGGGACTGTAAGCTTGGTGAGTGGGTGAGCACCCCCAAACCCTTGGGCATACTGAGGAAGAGAGGCCACACGCACGTGCACAAATACGTGCGCCAACACACCCACACACACACACACACACATGCACACACATGCACACACGTGCACACACGTGCGCGTACACACACACACACACACACACAAACAAACAATCACAAACACATGCACCTCACAATGCTCACATCCTCGTGTCGCTGCCGTGCCTGCCGCTCGCCCGTCGCCTCGTCCTTCGCCGCTTGCAGCGCTGCCCCTGCTGCGTTCGACGCCTCCAGCGCCTCGCGCGCCGCCTCCCTGAGCACGTCGCACTCGGCCGCCAGCTGGCTGACGTGGCTCTGAGCCTCGCTGACCCCCGCGACTGCGCTGCGTGCCTCAGCCTCCCTGCGGCGCCAAGGGCGAGCAAGAGCGGGTCGTCTGCAAATGCATTCGCACACCACTCGCAGTGCAGGCTTCTGGCTCAATGGCAGGAATCTGCATGCCCGCTGCTACAGCCAGCAGCGGCAATGGCAGCAGACAAGCAGCCTTGTTTTGCTGCACATAAACACTACAGTACCCAGCAGAGCGCACCGCTGCCCTAGCGTCGCCCGCAGCGCTTGAAGCTCCGCCGACGCCTCCGCCGCGCGCCGCTCCGCCACCTCTGCTTCGCCGAGCGCCGCCATCCGGCCCGCCTCCGCGGCCCGCAGCTGCGCGGTCGCTGCGTCCAGGTCCCTGGCGGCGCGCTCGAGGCGCCCCATCAGCTCACGCTGGCTGTCGCCGGCGTGCGCTGCGTCGTCCTCCCACCGGTGCGCCGTGGCCTCCAGCTGGCGCAGCTCTGAGGCCAGGGACTGCAGTAGTGCGGTAAGTTAAAGGGTGGTGCTGTCGCGGAAAGGGGCTTCAGCGGCGGCGCAAGCGGGGCAGGCGACCGCACGCGCCGGCAATGCCGCGAACAAGTGGCATGCGTGGCGACACCGGCTGCAAGGGCTGCAGCGCCAGTGCCACAGGGCACTGCTGGCGCGGCTCTCACCTTTATGAGCTCCTGGCCCAGCTTAATGCCCTGTTTTCGATTGCGCACGTGTGGCAGACAAAGTTGCGAGGATGTCGACGTGCTGGTTGGGTTTGGGGTTGCTGATGCACGTGTCCAGCCGCATGCCCTCCGTTGTTATGCGGACAAGTGAGTACGTGGCCGTTGCGGCGACGATGGGATGTACTGTGCAAGTGACACGTACATTTGCACCTCTTGCTTGACATCCCGTACCTGGATAGCGCGCACAGCCATACGCTTGCGCGTTGTCGCCGACACCGTCTGCAGGACATAGCGGCGTCCAAACGGCAAACGCGGATGCATAAGCTCGTTTGTTCGCCTCCAAAGGCCAGCATGCATGCTCATAATCACACCAACCTTTTGCTCATCGTCAAAAGCCGCAAGGGCCTGCTCCAACAGCTGTCCGAGCGTGGCCACCGCTTGCTGGGCCATCGTTGCCCGACAGGTTTCACCTATGTATCATGTAGGTTCTCACATTAAAGTATGATATGCAAACACCGTTTGACGAGCTGCACGCCTGATCATGATCTAGCACATGCCGCTCCGCAGGACGCCTTGTGGCTGCACAGCAAAATCAAAGTCATACGGTAAACAGCTTACAACATACACCCGTAGACGGTAGCAGCGACAAGAAAAGCCATGCGCAGCTGCGCGTCGGGCGGCGTCCTGCATTTGCGCTCCCGCTGGTGGCCAACACGCCCACCAGCTAAGCAGCACCTGTGCTTTGAGCGAGTTCGGCGGTGCGCTAATAGTGGTCATGTTGAGGGACTTCGGCAGCACGCCGCAGCCGGGCAGGACAGCAGTGGAGAGCCGCCGCTGGCCCCAGGACTGTACATTACTGGAACTCCCATAGGCAATCTCGAAGACATCAGGCACGCCAAGCCGGGCACACATATTTACAGGACGCAGTGTGCTGTGCATGTATGCACGCAAACATACTACACCCACACATGCGCGCGTGCATGCGCAACGCATGTGCATGCTGCACATGCCCGCTGCCCCAATCCGCAGCAGGCTCGCACACCCAAAAGCGGCGTTTGCAAACGCCGGCGCGCCGCACAGTCACGCCCCGTTTTGCCGTGCCCCTCCGCCGCACGCACTCTCGCCACGCTTCAGTGTGCGCGCCATCCGGGTGCTGCGCTGCGCGAGCGTGATACTGGCGGAGGACACGCGCCACTCGCGGCGCCTGCTGGACCACTTTGGGATACGCACGCCCCTGCTGTCGTACCACGAGCACAACGAGAAGCAGCGCGCGCACTCTGTGCTGCAGCGGCTGGCAGGCGGAGAGGTGCGGCGACTGATGCCCGGCGCGACGAGCACGGCGAGTGCAGTTGTGGTGTGTAGACTCAATTGGAAGCCGTGCCGCAGCTGCCAACAGAGACAGACGCATGCCCCTCCCCCTCCCCCCTCGCACACCCCCACACACGCGCACGCACACACACAAACACGCACACACACACGCACACACGCACACCCGGCCGTTCCCTGACCATCTCTTTTACGTCGAAATTGACTCCGCCCCACATGCGCAGCCCGTGGCCCTCATCAGTGACGCCGGCATGCCCGCCATCAGCGACCCCGGGGCAGACCTTGTCGCCGCCGCCGCCGCCGCGGGCATCCCCGTGTTTCCTATCCCCGGCCCCTGCGCCGCGCTCTGCGGCCTCGTCGCCTCAGGCTTGCCCACGTCGTCGTTTCAGTTCTGCGGGTTCCTGCCTCCAAAGCAGGCCGCACGGCGCGCGGAGTTGCGGCGGCTCTCGGGGCAGCGCGCGACGCTGGTTTTCTACGTGCCGCCTCACGGGCTGCTGGCGGTGCTGGCTGACGCAGCGGCCGTGCTGGGCGGCGGGCGGCGCTGCTGTGTAGCACGGGAGCTGACTAAGCTGCACGAGGAGTTCAGCAGGTGAGAGCTTGAAAATCGCCGGTCTGGCGGTGACCATTTGGTTGGGTTGGATGAGTTGGCTTGAGTTGGGCAGGCCGCTGATCAGCTGCGGGAGGGGTGGGCAGAGGCACTGGGCTGAGTGCACGTTGCGGCCACTCAGGCGCACCAAGCCGGCCTGGGTGTGCCTGGAGCGGCCCCGCACCCGCAAAGAGCCAGGCTGTTTGGGCCTGCATGTCGTCTTGCTGGCATGCCTCTTCCTGCACCCCGCCCTGCTCTACGATCTCCTGCTCCTCATCCTCCTGCCAAAAATCTCTTGTTACCCCCAGGGGCACGATTGACGAGGTCTTGGCTGATTACGGCAGCCGGGAAATCGTCAGGGGGGAGATGGCGCTGGTGGTGGAGGGCGCAGCAGAGACGCAGGCCGCAATAGCAGAGGCAGGCGCGCAGGCGGCCCTGGCAGCGGCACATGGCGACGGAGGTGCTGGTGATGTGGAGGTCAGCAGCAGCAGCAGCAGCAGCAGTAGCAGTGGCGGGGCAGAGGTGAAGGGACCAGGCAGAAATTCGGGCGAGGCGGCAGCGGCAGCAGGCGCCGCGACCGCGGCAGCAGCAGCGGCGGCTGCCGGGGACAGCAGTGCGCTGAAGCGGATGATTGCAGAGTTGCTGCGATCTGGCGCCTCTGTGTCGTCCGTGTCGCGCCAGCTGTCGCAGCAGCTGGGTGTGGGGCGAAGCCAGCTTTATAAGCTCGCCCTGCAGGTGGAGGCTGCTGAGCAGGCGCGGGTCCAAGGAACGACCAGCGGCGTCGACACTTGCTGAAACATGCCAGCGTCTGTAAGTAGTTGGCCAAGTGGTAACCAATACTGGGAACCAACTTGCTTGCTTACAACGGCAAGCCTCCACCCCACAACAAAAGTAACGTGAGCAGGTCACGAGGTGCAGCTATCTACAAGCCATCTACAACAAACGCACCCTTACTCCGTTCTTTCACCGCTGCTTCTCAGCAGCTGCCTCCGCCGCGGCCGCCTTGGCGGCGCCGTAGCCAGCATAGAACCAGGCCATCATCAGCTGAGACGCCGGTGCGTTGCCACCTACGAGCCGCAGCGCGCTGTCGCGCGCCGCCTCGGCCGCCTTCTTGCTCAGAGGGTCGGCTGCCACATCAGCAGGCATCGCGCCCAGCAGCTCCCTGCTAACCTTTGTGCCTTCAGAGGTCCCACTCTCCTCTTGCTCTACATCCCCTGCCGTGTTTCAGGTCGATTCAGGTGGGTTGTGCATGTGGCGTGTGAATAGGTTGTGGCCTATGCTGCGTTTAAGAGAAGCCACGAGGAGCAAGGTTGAGGCGCACGAGATCAGTCATAAGAATGTCCCACCAGATTGTCCTGGTCTGGTATGAAATATGTACGGTACCACTGCTGCCACATCAGACGCACACGGCATATTCTTGCTGGAAAGCCTTTCACCTGCGCCGCATGCTGCAGTCGTTGCCCATGCACCTACGCTGCAGCAGCACTCGCAGCACCAGCAGCTGCTACCGGCCGCTCCAGGCAACATGCAAGCTGGCGGCATTGGAGGAGGCGGCGGTGGGGGTGGGGGTGGCTGCCAGTAACCTGGCTGCCATCCCGTGCCCCATGATCCCTGCTGCCAGGCACAGCCGTGTTGCTGCTGCTGCTGCTGCTGCTGCTGCTGCTGCTGCTGCTGCTGCTGCTGCTGCTGCTGCCCTTGCTGGTATACTGGTGGTGGTGCTGGGGCCCATGGCTGGTAGCCCCCAGAGCTGTACCACTCCCAAAATGCCCTGTATGAGGCATCTTCGTCCCCCGCAGCTGCCGCTGCCGTCGCGGGCGCATCATGGCCAGGCGCCTCACATGGCTGTGGCACTGTTGCTGCTGCTCCTGCTCCTGCTGCCTCGGCTGTGGGCCAAGTTTCGTGCGGGTGTCTGGGCGACTGCCGCTCCTCCTGCTGCTTGTAGTCGCCGCGCTGCTTGGCTGGATTGGAGGATAGACCGTCACCATAGTGCGACGAGCTTGCAGCTTTGGCTTCCGACGCTGCGACTGCTTTCGGCGGCTCTGGCGTCACCTCGTACAGCGGAGGCAGGTCGTGATGCCGCTGGTGTGACACCAGAGCGTTCGCAAACGCCCTGCCAAAAAAATCAGTGTGAGCACAGAGTGGGTGTGTGCACCAGCGGCAGCAGCAGCGGCGGCAAGCAAGTTGCAAGTGTTTGGAAAGGGCATGTTGCACACTGCGCACCTGGTGACGAAGTCTGGCGGATCCAATACGATGGGCCCCTCCTGTTGCTCCATTTATCTGGGCTTATCAGCGCGCCAGGACCTTTGATCTACGAGACCAACAAAGATGGTTGTTCTGTTCATGCGTATTAGTAGGTGACAGTAGGCTTGAGAATCACGGGTATTTGGAGAAATCTAAGCGTGCCCAGATAGGTACGGGCCAGCGAGCTGGTCACCCGACGCAACGAGTCGGGTGTGCTGTGCCGCATTCCCTGGAACGGCTTCGTCAAGGGTTGTAGACTGCAACCCAATACAGTGTTTGCGCTTTGACTTCGTTTAATGGCCATCACTTTGGTCACGTTTGCAGGTGTACCCTGTTGCTGCCGCGGGCCTCTTCAAGCCGCGTTAGCAACGCCTTAGCAGTGCAATGAAGCAGCTTCAGCAGCTGAGTCGGTCGAACCGCGACGCAGCTGTCGTGCGGGGGTTGGCGCTTGATGTGGCCGCTTCGCCGCCAATGGAGCAGCGCCGCGTGCGGCCGCGACGCATCTTCAAGACCCCGCCACAGATAACCTACACGTGAGACGGTCTCCAGCCATGTAGTTTTCAGCATATCGGGGCTGTCATTGCGCAGCAGCACCCATTTGCTAATACCAATTCTGGGCCAGGGATCAGCACCAATGATCATGGGCAAAAGCATCACCGTCGCCTTGTTCAGGCGCTAAGCCCGCAGCCCAAGCACCAAATACAGCATAACGCCTGCTGTACCGCAGTGTGAGCAAGCGCGAGGTGACTCCAGAGGCTCTGGCGCGGCTGTGCAGCCTGTGCTCATGCAGCAGCACGACGCAGAGCGGCTCGCTCACACGCACGTCCCACTGGCGCCACTGGACGCAGCAGCCGGGTGGGTGCTGCATGCGAAGCCGTTTCGCGTGCCTTTTGGCCAGCACCTGCTTCATCTGCGGGTCAACATCGTACTAAGCAGCCTGTAGAAACGCCACACCGACGCCCACGCTGCGCTTTTTGGAACCCACACCCTCTGATGCCGCGCCTGGAAGCAACCCTGCTCGCGCGTCTTGCCCCTTTTGTAGAGGAGATGGTGCGCGACAAGCTACGCATGGCGCTTCACAACAGCGTGGCCATTGCGGCCGCGTTCACGCGCGACCCTCGGCTAGACGGGTACGAGCTCAGCAGTGAGGACGATGAGGAGTACGACAGCAGCGACGACGGCGGCCGCAGCAGCGGAAGCAGCAGCAGCAGCGGAGGCGGCAGCTTGAGTGATGCCTGGAGCATCCTCAGTGGTGGTGGCAGCAGCAGAGGTGGCGGCGGCCTGGAGTGGCCGGAGCCCTTGGCGCAGCTAGGCAGCAGCCTGTGGGGGCCGCGGCCGCCACCGCGGCTGGTGGGGTTTGTGCGGGCATCTGGAGACTATTCGCTGGTGGGTTTGAGGGCCTTCTTCACGGTTGAATGCTGCTGCTGCGTGCCCGCTCTGTTTGGTAACAGACTCCTCAGCTGACCCTGGGCACCTCGGCCGCCAAACAGGCCGGCCAGCAGTTTTTCTCGCATGTTTGTCAGTGTGTGTGGTGCGCTTAATGGTGTGATGGCCATCGACCCCCCTGCATCACGCTCCCCAGGTGGCCACGGTGCATGATGTTATCGTCCATCCAGAGCTGCAAGGCTTTGGCATAGGGCCGCGGCTGCTTAAGAAAGTCGTCACACAGGTGTGTGCCACACGCGGCTGCCCCTGCGGCCACCAGCCCCCATCACCCCCCTCCGCACAGCTGAGCGCGGCGGTTGCTGGCGCAGTGTCTGCAGGATGATAATTTCGGCCCTGCGCTTGTCAGAAAGGTTGCAGCGCGGGAGCAGACACGTCGTAAGCGGGTGCGGTGGCAGCCCGCTGCTGCCAGCCGCGAATGTCCCTGGATGCGCAGACGCTCCTCTCTTCGCAATCCAACGGTCCTCGCCCTACATGCCCCCTGTTGCTTGCGGTTGCCAGGTCACCACTCACGAGGTATACGACGTAGGCTTGGTGACGCCCTGCGAGCTGCAGCCCTTCTTCAGCGGGTGCAGCTTTGAGCCGGACCGCGAGGAGAGCGTGCCGATGGCGTTTGCGGGGTTGGTGGGCGACGGGTTGGGGGAGACGCGGCGGGTGGCGGCGAACACCAACCTCAAGCGGCTGCTGCAGGATGTCTAGGGGGTATGGTCTTTTCTGTAGCTGTGTGTTGATCGCATTGGCTGCAAAGCAGGAGTGTTGTGTTTACGCCCTGGTCAACATTGTCGTACTCTGCTGGGTCATCTGCTGCCGCAAGCTTGCTGGTCCTCTGGCTTTTGATGATGTGTTGTTGCCTTGTGCCGGTGTTGTGCTAGCATCGTGGTCAAAGCTGTGTTTCTGGTCGTGTTGCCACGGCTCCACCATTCGTGAGCTGCCCTTGACTGGCGTCGCCCATGTCATCCCAGATTCCTGAGGTGTGGCGCTCTGTTCATCCGCCCACTCTGTGATGCTGTGTTACACGGTGCGGCCTCCCAATGAGTTGTGATTGCTGTAATTCCCTTTCATTGTGTGCCAAGACAAGGCGCAGGCTGCAATCGCATTGTTCAGTTGTGATGTGGCAGACGCAGGGATACAGAAGACCAGGTCAAAGCATGGGGCGGCGCACAGCAGGCTGCAAAAGGTCGGTTGTCCGTTTCAGCGTGCGTTGCAGACATTCATGCGCACGTTCATCGCTTTTGAAACGCTAGCATGCAGTGCCTCCAGCACAGCCGCAGGCACGGGCTCCAGCTGAGGGGCCCTGCCGCGGGTGCCGGGCCTCACGCAGCACGCCATGTGACTTTTGGTGTGGTTCGAGGTCCTCGCGCCGTCTTCCAGATCCAGCAGCCGCAGTGCCGCGAGGCACTGGCGTCGCGATCTACAGCAGCCCGGAGCGCTGCGGTGGCCCTCCCTCTGCAGCCGGACAATGGTCCCAATAGATTGCAGCACGTATGCAAGTCCGCGCTTATAGGTGTAGCAGCAGCAGCGGCCTGGTCCATACTTGCGTCCGCTTTCAGCGCAGCCAGCGGGCCTTTTGCCTCTCTGTCAATTGCAGCAGCTGGAGCGTCTTCTAATGGTGCGCGTAAAAGCCTATGTAGGCGCTGTGCGATGCGTGGCGCCACGTGAAGCCATGCGCCGCGCACGCTCACTCATGTGCATGGCCGCCGGCGACCGCAGGCGCGCAGCAGGCAGCGCAGAGTGCATGGGCGGGGCTGGCAGCCGGGTTCCTCCACACCCTGTGTGGGCCTGACCATCTGGCGGTGAGTGGGCCGCACGCCGCCGCATGGCGCACGTCAGGAGTTGTCGTGTGGGTCGGCCAGCGGCCGATGAGGTGTCGCTGGTGGTTCACGGGGTCGCATCTGCGCACGCGTGTCCCCACTGCGGGGCACGCCGCTGCAGCCGACGGTCTTCACTGACAGAAATCTCACCGGGCTGCCAGTGCTATTTCTCCCATTCACTGTGCGGGCGCAAGTGCTGTTGTTGACACAATGCGCGATGTGGCTGTCAACTCAGCCTGTCTCTGGTGCGGCTCATCAGCTCACTTGGACCCTGCTTGCTTGCATTTGAACAACATGCAGGCCCTCACGCCGCTGACTATTGGACGCAACCGTGCGGCGGCGTCTGCGCTGGGCGCGCTGTGGGGCTTTGGCCACTCCACTGGGCAGCTGATCCTTGGGCTGGCGCTTGTGCTGCTGAAGGTGCGTGCCCATGCCCTGCCGGCCAAGCGTGTGCTGCTCCGTGTGCTGACGAGGTTGCGCGCGAGGGCAAGAGCAGCAGCAGCTGCCTCGCACGAGTCTGAGGCAATCTACTGCGGCAACATGCATTTTTTTACGGGTCGCCTTTTCATCCCTCCTCTGCAAACCCTGACCTTTCGGACCTTGAACATCTTTGCAGGAGCGCTTCCACGACTTCATCCCTGCGCTGTCGCGGTGGTCGGGCACCGTGGTCGGCCTCACCCTCATCACCATCGGCCTCATGGGGCTGTACGAGACATACATCGAGCAGCATGATGGCCACGACGACGAGGCGGCCGCGGCGGC